AGCTTGTAGAAGTACCTGTTCAGGCTGCATAATGTGCTTTATGCTTATTATCCAATGCTATCTCCGTAGTAAACAGGTTTAAAGCGACAACCAAAATAAATGATCGTATTTAGAATATTATTAGGTGCACCGAGTCATTCGGCCCATAATTAAATACAAGTTAAATTTCTGAAGTTTTTATGGGTTGATAAGTTTGTTGAATATATAAGTAGCAGCCAAACGAGATGTTGGTAATGGATAAACACGTCTTGATATGTAAACGTGACTACTTTTGTCTCGGGTTCAGAATTTTCTATGCTATTAGCCATTTTGTTTATGCATCGGTCTGAATGTTTTTTCAACGCCAAGTATTATGTAAGCCTATTTAGTAAAAATGTCTTAATTTATTTCCTTTGGTATATCTTTTATGCTTATCTGCTTTTTAGTTGTACCGTTTTCCGGGCTTATGTCTTTCTTGACAGTGAAATGCAATATTCGACAATTATGCTTTCTGTAGTCTGAAATATGAATACAAATACTGGACCTATATACATATCTTATTCATTTAGTATAATACTAGACTTTTAGCATTCTGCTGTTTGTTTTGGTTGAAGTTGAACATTAAAACCATTGAGTGTGCTGGCTGAGTGGTCTAGAGGTCAAGCGTCCGCGCGAGACTGAAGGTCTTAGATCCGGATCCTGTGTGTGGGGTCCTGGATGTCCACTGTTGAGTGTCATACTAGGACGAAACAGCCGTCTTATACTCTCAGGTTTTCAATGGTGGTCTAACATTGATCGGTCCATGATTTCAATGTTTGTTTCCCATTATCTCTCAATATCTAGTTTCGGCAGTCATACAAGATTTTTGCTAAATACCTAAAAAAGCTATCTGTGCAGATTTGAAGATAACAATTGTATTATCTTTTCAAAAATCAGTCTCTTGCTTATATGGTATGCTACTTAGTTTCCATACGAATTCTCTTAAATTGTCTACTGCTAAGAAATTACGGTTTATTGTTTAATTAAAGCAACTTTTCTATTCACAACTTGCAAATATAATCGTTATTCGGCGATGGTAATAAATCGTTTATGATTGTACGTTTAGCTTTTCAGAATACATCCCATTTTGTGGAAGCATTTTCGTGTCGGTCTCTTATTCACTACATTAAACTAATCTAACATGTCCTTTCGGTTTATTCACGTTTTCATTCCCTGCTTTCGCAACCGCCATTCAGCTTTTCGATCTTCAAATATGTATTTCAAAAATTGTTTTAACTTATAATTATTAGTATTATAGGTTTATGCGACAATGTTGAATGGACTATACATCTTGACGATGTACACAGGCAGAATCTGTCAATACGACAACTGGTGTATCTCCAAATTTTTGGAATTCTTAAACTCAAAATTATTTGTCATCTACAAACATTTCTATTTGAAAGATTTATGAGTATCATGGAAAACTCTTTGTTCTTGCTTGTTTATCTCGCAAAAACTTAAAGCATAACAAACGTAACTAACTACCACCAGGAATAATCGTTTTACTATTTTGATTGATGCTTCTGAACATAAATATTTTTCTCAATGAAATTTGGTTTGAATTAAGATCAATTGCAGCTTTACGGAATATCAGTGTATGATAGTTAAATGGATTTTTCACTCAGAATTTTAGTGTTATATATATATATATATATATAACTTTATTCTGTTCAGTTTCGATTTGGAAGTGTGGTGTTTAGCGAAACATGCATCTTTTATTCACAATGACTGACTCAGTCGATCGAGGGGCCTCATGGCAGTGCTTGTCATCACAGTGGATCACGAAATGCGTAAGCATTCTGTGTAGAAATTTATGAGCAACTTTCATGATTATTGTCATCTCTACTGCTGTTATTCAAGGATACCTACTTCATTTTTACTTGAGTACGTTAGACGATCCTCTATAAGTTCATTTTACTGTCTCAGAATACCCAAATAACATAGTTCTGTTCGATGAAGATGCTGACCAAATACTGTCTTGTTATCTTGAACCACTGTGAAAAGCTTATTTGGGATATTGCCGCTCTCCCTCCAAATACAAACTTGTTTGAGGAGTGGTCTGTGTGTACTTCGAGATCAATGATAACGGTCAAAGTTGTTTATGTGTTGACCACATCTCTTATCTTGGAATTTTTATTAACCTAGATGAGTTAGTGTCTATCGAGATCGCAAAAAGAATTTGGGAAACTCTCTCGACTCCGATGCATTGCTCGCGTATAGTGAAGCAATTCAGAGGTGCAATTTATGGTCCTAGATAACATGGCAAATCGGTTGATGTGGCTGAAGCGGGTGGAATGTATGTTGCGTATTCCAAACTACCACCCGCTCCGGTGCCTAACGTCTAGAGTAGGGATCTGTTAGGAAAAAAATAAGTAGAGAATCCAAGATTCGCATTAGTCTATGTAATCTTAGACTGAGCATTAGTAGGTAAAGACTACCTGTAATTGATAATACGTTAGTTAATACTTCAATTAATTTCATAACAGCTTGGGCCAATACATATTTGTGCTAGAGTGAGTTAATTTTGACCATTACTCAAGAAAAAAACATCCCAATTATTCTTGCTCGTTTTCAGTAGTTTTATGACATTGACCTACTGTTTATCCTGCTATTTATCTAACTGGCCAAATTATCGATTCCTATTTAGTATTAATCACCGTGTAAATATTCATTAAGTCTGTGAATCATGAATGCAGAAAATGCTTTTGCAATACTCGTATTTGTCGGGAGCATATTGATGGTGCTTCAAAATTATTACTCCCAGGCACTTTCCAACAAGAAGAACCAGATTCTAAATATGATAAGTTCAAAAGTAATATATAAGGATCCAAGATGTGTGTAGTATAATCAAAACTCCCCTCTGAGTTTTGACGTTGAACAATATTTATTGGGAAAATCATTTGCATTCAATTTAGATTTTGAAAGAAATTTGTGCGGAAAGTTTGTTTTCAAAATGGCTGATCTGCTATTATTATTGCCTGATCAGAAAATATATCTACCTCCTTCCTTCGTTCAGGATTGAAGTATGAAATCGTTCTAGGGATCCTATTCATTGATTATAGCCAAAATACAAACACATTTTCAAAGGAGTGTAACAGTGATTCTCAAGGTAATAACATTCAAGTTCTCTTAATATAATGATTTTCATACCTCATACAAATTGACAAGCTTAATCCCGTGAAGTGGTAAATACTGTGGTGTTACATTTTATCATTGTCAAATAAATGGTAAACAGAGAATTGGGAATATCGAGGTTGTATGCTCATATTACAGGATTTTCAAGTAAGACTAGGGTACATGCTACATTTATAACTAATTGCCATGATTCTTTGTTAACATTTGAATTGTCATTAGGATGATACCCTTTAATTCTATTCGGGTCATCAGAAATTATCATTCACTTTCACACTCAGGGGTGCCTAAAGCTGAGGAGATAAACCTATTTGTTTGGTTTTCGGTACATGCATTAACGATCTGTATGTAGACTTTTCTATGTACAGATGATTTCTACATTTTGTAAATAGCTGTTAATGCTATTCTCAATAATGTTTATCACAGAACCTGGCATAGTTGTTTTGGCCCCCCAAATGCCCCAGGAGTGAAGAGTCAGTTCTCCCGCAAAAACGCCTTCATATGACCGCGCGTATACAACCGCTGTCAGGGAAGTCCTACTCACTGCCTTCTCGCTACATTACAGTTGTTTAGAAGACTGAGAGGACGAGAAGCAAATCTCCAGCACTTTAACCGGGTTGGTGGATCCGGTGAACTCACCTAGGGGGGTTGGAAAATTCTGATTCTAAATCAATGGTGAGTTAACAAATGGAGTATGAACCTATTGTTGATGACCGGCTACCATGGGACTGCATCTCCTTACGTTGCTCCACTTCCTTGTGGATTAGACCTTTGTAGAGTGACCACCTACTTTAGTTTGGATAGTCGTGCAGTATGCCAGCCCTCATACAAATCGAGTGGTTTATTTGGTGCCACCTTTACCAATGTTTAAATGCTTAAATAGATAAATGAAATAGGCTTTCTCTTTACCAATATGGTAAGGTTATAGGTTGGTTGTTATTTCAATTTAGTGTCGTTTTTACGGAAAAGCTATGAGTTTTTTTGTTCTTTTCGAATGATATAGAAATCTTCCCACTTTTCATCAACGATCACTGCATTATACGTAGAAAATATTTCCAATTTAACTTTCACTCTGACTTGTCGTGATGTTGGTTGAACCAATGTCAAAGTAACTAGTTTAAGGATTTCTCGGAAACGTTTTGTCAATCTATTACATCGATGACTGGACGTTTATTTATTTTTAAGTTTTGTGCATTTATCTAAACTAGTTCTTGTGATCGAAAATCACAACTGGAAAACTGTTGGTGCTTATTTTCTGCTGACCAAATAAATAAATTTGGTTAAGTAAGTTATCGTGTATAATATTATCTTTGTATTGTTCTATCTCAACCCTGATGCATAAAATACGTACTTACTATTTGTTCGTCAAACCAACATAGTGAAACTTCATGGTTACTCACTAGCGTTCTCTACAATAATAAGTTTGTCATTTGCTTGTTTTATGCTAATTAACATAATTCTGCATTTTAATTTGCAAATACGAATTTATAATTATGGAATACTTATAACTAACCAATCAGATTTTCTTTAATGTTTATTTGTGCTGTATCAATTTCGTTATAGTTTTATTAACATTTTCTTGTCTCAGTTTCACAGATTCATATCTGTATATCACTTGTGTCATGATGAAAATAACACAAGCATCACTAATTGTTATATATTCAATTCATTTACTCTTTACTGAAAGCCTACTGCGAACTGAACAACCAGAAGGTTATCGCATAGAACGGGTTGGATTACATGGAAGAAGAGTCAACTTTACATGGTACAGGAATGTAACGATCCGGAGCTGGGTTCAGGCAGCTGACAAGTGCTCTTTCTTAAATAGCCTGCTTCCTAAAGTTACTGACATGCGTTATTTCTACAAAACATTACAGTCGGATGATGTTATTTCACCAATAAGTAAAACGTCTGAGAATAAAACTCACAGCGGTGTCGTCTTTTACCTTGGAGATATTCTAGAAGCTACAATGGACTATCCTAATATCGAAAGTGGCGAAAGAATGTGTCTGACAATTGAAAAAGTTCCGGGATCTCAGGTAAATCATAATCTTGTTCTCTCTTAACTAATACTAAGAATATTCTCATGCGTAGTGAATTCAGCACCTTTTCATTACCTCAAGACGTATCATGTTATTCTTTTTATAATCTGTTTTCACTCCTTCATAATTGATTTTGACAACGCAACTCCCATTGTATGTTTCCCATCTCCAGCCATTGGTAAACCAGTGCAGCTTAGCAAAATTGTTACTGAATCTACCAACTGATACTACATTTCTATTTAGCCTCCTAACCTTTTCACAACTTGCTCTTACACCATCTATCATCGCACATCGAGGTAAGCAATGGTTAGACGTACTTAGTAAAGATTTCAACCACTTTATCCGATGGAAATTCCCTACATCACCATGCCTACCTAGTACTGCATTGCTAAGCTCAGCACTGGGGCATTCAGTTTTTCCGACATGTACATGTGGTTGTATACTAGGGACTTACGAATATCCATTTTTCTTAATGACTATGAATTAGAAAAAGCAGAGTGCTGCGCAGTATAGTTGTCCTCTGGATGCGAGACGGAAATCTTGTTCACAATAAAGGAGATGTAGGTTGGTAATGGCAGACCGGGTGTGCTAAGTTCGCGTCGAGATTTCGTCAAACAATCAGCTTCCAAAATTAAGCAGAATACACATTTTACTTCACTCCCTATAATTAATTCAAGGGTTGATGCAGGTTCTGTGTCAACATTTTGTATTTTGATGAAGAAAACGCATCCCAAACATTTTCGGATCATCGATGTATTCCAAAAGAACAAGAGAATAGCCTGGTAGAAAGTCGATTCCTGATAAATCAGACGATAAGAGCAGTATCTCTAAAGGTATGTCAACAACAAAGTTGAATAAAAGTGAATTAAGCGGAAAACCTTAATAAACACCACTTGAAGTCATCATTTCCGATGACAGTTCAATATAATCTCTGACTTGACCAGTTGTGTTTGAGTAAAGAGTCGATACAAAGGTAATGTAATTGTTTCTATGCCTTTCATCAACAGACATCGCCATGAAACGCTTTCTTATGGCCAAGAACAACGATAAGCTAGCAAAATACAAATATCTGATCTACATACCTACGTACTGGTCTGAAACCAGTCTGGCTTTCTCGAGCTAACTCATCGCAATCCCTAATTAAGCATCGGATAATTAGTAAGGTTGGTCTTTGTCATATTATCACTCAAACTGATTCCTCTGTGGTTGTCGCAAGAGGATTTCCGTCATTTCTTATAAACTGAAACAATCAGCGATTTAACCTAGTCACTAAATTGCATTTAACTTCGAAACTAGCTAACATCTCAGTCAATCTAACCACTAAAAGTGGATCACCACAGGGTGATCATGCTGATTATGAAAGAATTTTCCGGAATGCTTTTAATGTCATTTGTTATCACGAAGCTTCCGAAGCGTATCGATCTCGTTCTCAGAAACACATACTTTCCTAGGACAGTTTTGTTCTATAATGTCGAGAAATTTATTGGTACATCTCTTCAATCAAGATTATTATCACAAATGAAATTTATGAAGAATGTGTGGTGAATTTTTTGTGGAATATAAGCAGCTACCTGGTCTGTATAACAGCAACCATATTTGTTACATATATTTCAATTACATAATGATTATAATTTGAAGAGTTTGAGTAACTTTCTAACCCTTTCTTTTCTCAGTTACATCTAGCCGAATCATCTGCAGTGAAAAGTTGCTTAACTCATGCTAACCTACTTGTATGTAAATCCGAAGTGGACAGTAGTAGCGTGACAAATTACGATGATGATTCGTACCCACATATGTGTAATTTTGCGGACGATAAATGGTTTGGTCCATTGCCAAAATGGATTCTTGATTTGAAGCAAAAAGCTGAATTCAGACAAGATCATATATGCCTAACAAAACTTTTATTCTGTATTACAGCAGGTAAGTAAGCTTAATACCAACATATAGTTATTGAATGTTAGATCTTTGCTATGAACTCTAATACGTAAATTTTTTACAGCAATAGTTCAATCGTCATGGATCGTGTTTTACATTTAAATTTCTTATTCATGTAGTGTGTTCTGGGCTAATCGTCGTCCTTTTCCTTACAAGTACAATAATTTTGGCTGTTCGGTACAAATGCCTAGTTCTAAAAATGAAAAGAAAACAGACTGGAACGGATGGAACTCACGTCTGGGCACAAAATTCAGAAATATCACAATGTCTTTTAGGTGAAACAGATGGAAGATTAGATATTCTAGCTGATTCAGCGTTTCGTCGTGATCCTAGTGGTTTCACAAGAGGAAGTTATAAAGAAGCACTAGTTAATAGCGGGTATCAAAGAATTTCAAATGGACGAAATAAAGGCCTCCATACATCGGATAAACCTCGATCTGGAACAATAACATGTTAGTGTACTAAACAGATATCAAGTACTTTTAAACCTGAATGGATGAAACACTGTATAGTTGTTTATAACATTAAATTTTTATAAAATATTTATTCTTTTATAAGCGCTTGTACATATGGTTGTCCTTGCTATAATAAATCGCCGAATAGGCCAAATATGAGCCAAACGTATTTAAAATTTCATATACCGTGCGTTGTAAGGTGCAAATTAATTGGGACGCACACATTAGTCAAAGACAATTTGGCGCAAGGTGAATTAAATTTGACGGTTCTACAAAATTGTTGATGATAATTGTAAGGTGATGATGAAACTAAAACATATTTCTGATTCGCAGACTAGCTTTTGGTGACCTGTGCTTTCTAAGCTGCATCGTTTAACCATTAACGCAGTACCTACATAACAATAAAGTTTGATTCAACGAAGTATCACTACCAAAAAGATAAGCTTGTATTTCGCACCACAACAGTTGAAAGATGCTGCACAAATTTCCCTCAGAAATTAACTACCGATTTTCATAACTTACGCTTGTTACCCCTCGTGGAGGAACATGGTACGCCCATCAGTATTCTCCATCGAACTCTGTCCTAGGCTATTCATCCTTTTGGTGTCTGCTTCCAATTCCCGACGTAGTGCTCTTCGGCCTTTTTCTTTTCCGTTTCTCTTCATGATTCTATGTAAGCACTTGTATCGTGATGCAGTTTATGTATGTCCTACCCACCTCTAGCGTCTTTATCTAATTTCCTATTCAGTTGGAAGCTTTGTTCTCTCTCACATGTTGTTGCTGACTTATTATCATAAACAGTTTCATAATTAGTACAAAGCTAGTGTACAAACAGGAGAGTTATTCGTATATCACGCATTTAGTAGATGGAGAGTTTCGCCGACACGACACTCAACTTGTGAGCTTTCATCATTACTTTCACGTCTTGGGTTTTAGACCAGTAGGCGAAGGACTACATAATTCTTAATAAGACACATAAAAAACAATATGTCATAAAAAATTCCTACTCTTCAATAGAATAATAACTTATGTCTGGTTAGTTTTCCTTGTTTTTAATTTACTCTTGTAGGAACTATTTTTTGGGCTACTCAAAGTGGTAAATTCTGTTTGGATAATTGTCCCAAGTAGAATATATATAGATCATATTAATTGAGAACTGTTAACAATAAGGGAAAGTACACACAATTTAACGGGATGCGGTTTAGGCAATCAAGTTTCACAAAGAAATATTCATAAAATGCTATTTCTTCTCTATAACAGTTTTCGTTAATTCGCGTATTGCCATGGTAGCGTAACTGGATTTCGGTAAATTAAACGTTAAGACGATAGCCTGCTGTTTTCCATCTAAAATAAATAGGATTTCATGAATACAGTGAGAGCATCACTTCTTATACGTAGATATATAAAATAACATAAAATGTCTACAGAAACGTTATTAATAATAACCTGCACACAGCTTTAAGAGACATTTTTACAAGAATTGCTATGGTCCTTAGATGTTGCTTCGAGAATGGATCAACTTATGTTAAGCTCGAGTTAGTTATGAATAAGTAGACTACCTAACTCCAGGTTTTTAGAGGATCTTCGTTGCTAACTAGGATATGAAACAGATTTCTGAAATTTGCAACCCAACGGTAAATCATGCGCATTTTCACGGGTTTCCTAAATGGATAATGGCAAATCTAAAGAATAATGTGGAGCATTATCAAGCTGAGACACATTGTTTATTTTGTGATACTACATATTTGATGACAAGAAACCTCCCTTTTAAATATATTTGGATAATCTTACTAAAAACTACTTGCTTAACAAGCACATTAATAGCGAATAGTAAACATAAGAGATAGTTCATTGTAAGATCTATCTCACGTTGAATAGTTTAATTCTTTAAAAGCATAATAACTAGCTATTAAGAGAAATAATACACAAATTCTCAACTACCTGAAATGTAGCATCATACAGTCTGCGAATTAATCTTGAGATGAGCGATATCTATTGAATGAGGGCTAATGGTGGCACCACTTTGGTGTCTAAAACCCAATAGGAGGCGTAAGATTCGAAACCATGAAAGTTGTATAAGCGTAAATCAGTTACAGATGTAATACTGTGTTTTAAACATCCAGCTAAGAGTGGAAATAAACTGGATAAGTACGACACAACCCGCATATCAAACATTTGTAATTTTCGTTTTTGTTCATCTACGAAATACATCGTTAGTAAACACCTTTAAATTAGCCGCACAAACAAAATGCACCGTTGATACAGTTACACACAATATGACTGAAGTTTAACAGTGAAATAAATATGTCGGCATAAAGAGATACTACCCTTTTTAAAGTAAGTGTGTGGGTAAGTAAAGTAAAGTAAGTAAGTTTTGAAAAACCTACGAAGTATGACGGGAGTCAAAGGCATTTCATATAACATGAGATATTTATAAAATGCATACGAATGAAAGTATTCAAAGAAATTTGGTTTAATTACCTTTATCTAAGCAGATATCATTATTTTGTGTCTCATTTTGTGAAGCAGGAGTTAAAATACTACTTGTAATTGTACCATTTAATAACTGAAGATCAGACTTCACTAGAGGTATATCAGGGTTTGAATATTCATGAAATTCGTATTTAACGTTTTGCGGGACAACAATTAATTTCCGATAAGAACCAGGGAGTGCAAAATCTCTACAACAACAATGAAATTTCGCTAAAATACAGATTCTACATGTACATTGAGATGGAAGTCAAAAAAAAATTGACAGATGGAGCGGTCATTGCCAATAAATCGCAAATCATTATAGGGATCAAACTTTGGGTCCAACAAACCTGTCTTAGATTTGCTTTAACTGAATAATTATGAATGGTATAAAAAATTTACAGCTTATTGCTATGCTGGAAAAAGAGGAAAACGAAGACATCACAGTTGCTAACATCCCCCCCATTGTTTGCACTCCGACGAAATTAGAGACGATGGCATTAGTATTCATCCATCTCATAAATGATAAGTGAGTAATATAGTTGCTGCAGCTGAGTGGGTAGAAAAATTTTGATTCACATATATACGATATTCATTTGGTTTAATAAATAGTTGAGTGAGTGTGTTTAATCTTCATTATGTGTTATCACTTCAATGGTCTAGTTCGGAGATTTAATCTGTGGAACTTAAGATTACAAATACAATGACTTAAAAAGGGTTATACGAAATTAGAAAGGAGTATGTTATTGTGAGGACATCTCACTGATTATTATTATTTTTTAATATCTAGTGTAAAAAGTATACAAAAATCAGGATTACACGAAAAAAATATTAGAGAATTGGACTTACTTAACTGAATGACTGAAATCTTTGACTGTCAAACAATCTTCTTTTAGTAATTCGGTATAGCAATCAGCGCCTAAATTAATTATTGAGAATAAGCAAATAGTAATTGTATAATGATCTTGTAGAATTTGTACTTATATGAGAAAGCAATAAAGGTTTTAGTTGAATTACTTTATGTAATTCAAGAGTTGAAAGGAGTACCAAGGCAAAATTAAGCTTTTCTAAGTCTAAAAAAATATTTGGATCGAGAGGAGGGTATTGAATTTGCTATCACGTGTTCAGAGGAAGTTGTCGATTGAGTGGGTAAGTATAAAATAAGTTATTTTTTATATCGGTTACCAGCCTGACGGATACATCACTTTAAAATGAGCTATTGAAACAAGGAACTTATCAGATAACTCTTTCTCAATTGGTTCATTAATCGACATTGAAATAAAGGAATAAATTGACCACCAAAGATAAATCAGAAATACGGAAACTTAAAGAACTTTATTTGGTGAAATGTTTTTATCATGATGACTGTCATACATTGATCATATTCCATCACGTTTCTCCCGAACAGTCAGCGTTGATGCTACTCAAAGGTCTTGTATTGAACTACATTTAAGGTAACGTAGTATCACTTATTTTTAACATGACGAAAACCCTTACGAATAAAAATCATACTTGTTTAACAAGTTAGTGCCTATCTGAATTCAGTAGCTTAAAGAATAACGGGTTAGTGTTCTAAAAGTCCTTCATTGGGTTTGAGTCTTAGTATTAACAGGTGCATCCAGATGACTAGTCCTAGATAGGACAGGACGTACGTCCTGGATTCCACTGCTAACTACAAAGCGAGTATAATAATGTCAGGTTACACGCTGAAACCTCCCTATTATTTCCACACGTTTGTATGTGCTCTTGTCCTTAAGTACCGCTAACTCAACGGATGAAGGACAACAACCAACGGACCCCACAAGAACAAAAAGCTTTAAAGCAACTCAGAACTAGAAAAGATATTGTCATAGTTCCAGCGGACAAAGGACGCACCATAGTGATTATGGACAAAAAAGAACACATCAAGAAAGCTGAGGAACTACTTGAGGAATCTTGACAACAGCCATCTCTATTATTCTCCAACAAAGGACAAGAACTTTGTGTTTAAGCATATACACATCAACGAGACTCAAATTTTGTGAGTAGTTCATTTCTAATGTCACATGTACTAGAATCATGTATTGGGCTTGATATAAAAGAATATTAAATCTAATATTCAAGCAAATATGTAAATGCAGAGTTGTACAATATAAAAAACAGATAAAAACTTCATTTACTATGATTTTTAGGATATTGTACAGCGTAACCAGGAACAGGAAGTACAACTGAATTTAAAGGGATTTTTTCATTTTCTCCAACTACTAGTGGATGTATGAATGATAATTTAGACGATGGGAGAGAATTCGCCGATGATATTGAAGAGTTGTCAGTTTCTAACACAGATTCGTCGAAGTTAATATCTAAAATGAAAATGTAGCAAATATTGATTTATTTAGTATTTAAAAGAAATTTATTGAGGCATAAAAATTTATTATTGTAACTAATTTACTAACTACTGGATCCGGTAGTTGATTATGAGCTACACTCTTTATGTATGAAGTCATCATAAGGATGACAGACATTTATTGTTGCAATGTACATATCTTTGGTTGAAATCAATATAATTTATTATTTATCGCTGTTGACAGCGTCGAATAATCGCCTATAATAGATTGGTTGAATTTAAGAAATGAACGACTGAGTAATTATATAGCAATAAGGTTTTAGTAAGAGTTTAACTGTAGGAAAAGTGAGTAATATACATTGTAGATAAGTTCTAAATCAAATAATTATCATGCGCAAGTTGGTTTTCAAAATTGATTTCTTAACTGATATCTATGAATGATGAACACTGACCTTAAATAAATAGCTTCTAAAAATAAATGTTTTATGTTGACAAACAACATACCATTTTCATAATTATCTGTGGTTATTACATTCTGATCATTATAATAAAGATCACCAGGCTTAGCGAAAAAGTCACCAGGATTCTGATGAGTCATACGTAGACTTGCCACATGGTTCCATAAGAAAGATTGATAACTATGTACATAGAGTTGGCGAAGGTTTCGAGGAAGCTAAAAGTGGTTATTTTTCCGAGGAAGAATAAATATATGAACGATGTATAGTAACTTATGATTAAAATTCATGAAGAATAGAAATTAAATTCATTATTTAGTCTTTTAATCCACAGATGTACACGAACCCATGTCTCCGAAAGTATTCCATATGACTTAGCCAACAAAGTAGGTTTATTTCAATATTCTTTGGATAACTCTGCCAAGCGAATTATAGAACAGAACGTAAATGATGTGATTACTGTATGCTAAAAGTTATTTACAGTTGGCTTTAAAATGAAAGATACAGTTTAACAACAATAATAATTGGATTTTAATAAATTAAGTTAGGTTGTCGATCACATCTATACATTTTATGTAAGACCTTAAATCAAAACAGAATAAGATATAGTATAGGCATTAATAATTAGATATCAGATTTAATAATAATAATATAACTCATTTGTCAGATACAGATTTATGGACGAAGCTTTTGACTATACTACACAAAGGCTATGGTGATTACTATTGACGAAAATGTGCTCGCTCTGCACGCAATCAGTATTCACAATTATTTGGTTACACACAAATTTACTTTATACGGCTTCGTTTTTGTATTCCTCACTTTACGTGTATGTTTCTTTTTTAACTAACTCAACAACTCGCCTCCATTGAAGGCTATATCCTGTCAAAATGGTCTTAAGTTGTTGAATGATCGAATTAATGAATGGTGCCACCGAATATGACAGATTTTGTACTGCTAGTCGGAGATTTGATTGCACGCTTCAGAAGTCTAGGCACAGAGGGGAGTCGCTTGGGCGACCAGTGAGGACCCGATGGTCGTATGTCAGATGATAATGACGATTTCTTACAACTTTGTGAAGATCACAACTTACTTTACACCAACACCGACTTCCGGTACCGTTATCTCCAATTTGCTTAATGGAGTCCTCCTTCTGAAGACTAGGTGTAGCGAAGCCGCAAGTTATATGGTCAGCTATTTTCAGAGGATCATGAAAACACAACCAACACTTGCCTACACTTATCGGGGGATTGGTAGATATCCTTGAACCTAAATGAGTTTGATACTTAGTTGCAACGGAAGGGCTGAATATTTGTTTTTTGTCCTTACACTTTCGCAAAAAAACCACTTCCTAGTGAGTGAAGTGAATAGAATGTCCCTAGTAGAGGCTTTAAATATAAGGGTGCATGAGTGTTCTAGAGGGAGAATGGATTCTCTTCACCTTCAACCATACCAGGGTATTTAAGTAATCAAGACTTCCAATTAAACTGTTGCATAAAGCAGTATATAATGAATTTCGAAATGTATCCTTGTCTGTACTTCTTCCTACTTATAAAATTACACACTGGTTTTTGTATCTTTACACAGTTATATTATTTGTACCACACCATTCAGTGCGATCAATATTTCCCATGATATTACGTTGTGTTTGAACCAAAGAAATATCAAGATGGCAAAAGTTCTAGGTCACGGTCTAGTACAACTGGTGTTTACAATACAGTGAACAATGTGTACTATTATTATCGCCTCTCCAGCAATTACATTTTTAGAACCTTTTATATGTGTATATGCAAATAGAAAGAAAAACTTCTTTGTTTCGCAAATTTAATACAAACTTTTTTGACTAATAGATTAAAACGTCATTAAATTGTTGTGAGGTATGGACACTAATTAAGAAACAATTCATTCATTAGTATAAAAATCAAATTAGAGTAAACAGATTAACTGATTACTACTAATTGATAGAATAGAATAAACTTTCCTGAAACTTATTAGATGATTGACTAAATGTAACTTATTTACTAAGTAGAGGTGTACGAGCTCTGGGTTGAGCAATAACCTGGTTGTGGCACTAACCGGTTACAACAGAAGAATTAGGTGGAGATAAGCCTTGTTTACCCAAACAAATCACAACTTTAGGTACAGCTACTATATTGAATGAGTATGCTATAGGAAGTAGTGCAGATAAATGGAAAACTTTAATTTAGATTGTCAGTTAACCTAAATCTTGCTACAAAATGTTAGTTGTTTGTGGAATTGATGGATAGAAAAGTCTTCCTGTATTATGCTAAATAATGAACCATTAGAATTTCCTTTCAGTGATTTGGTCTTCGTTATTTTGGAAACAAACAAGTTATAACGTTTTTAATGTAGAATCAAAGACCTACAGCAATTAAAATCTAATATATTTTAATTCTGTGGTTTTGTGTTTTTCAATCTTTCAGTCCAAACTGGATTTAAATAATTGCACACAAATGTGGCCTCATCAGAACGACTTTATGGATCCTTCATAAAATAATTTGATCCGTTTTTATAGGACGATAGAAAAGTGTGAAAGCTGTATTTTAAGGTCTTTCAGCATGAGACTACTTAGATGAGTGCTATATTGCACTACAAATTTATATGGAGGCTATACGTCGGACTACCTTCTTAATATTATGAGATAAACACATTCGGTGTTAATTTGTAGTTAGAAAGTCTAGACCAGAAATAAATTTTAATGGTAAAAGGGGTGACAGTGTTTAAAGAATTAGAATCTCAATCTAATACTAAACGCCTACGCCATAAATGACGCAAGTTGGCAAAAGCTAGTCGAGCCTTCTGTATCCGTGCTGAGATTTCGTCACAAACCAAACCACAAGGGCTGATGAGACTTCCAAGATAAGTGAAGCGGTCGACACACTCAACTACTTCACTCCCTATCACTAGTTCGGGTGTCGATGTAACCCAATCCTGAAGCAACATTTTACATTTCGAGGGAGAGAATCGCATCCCGAACATGCTTGCATTGTTGCTTAGAGTGGTCAGAAGACTCTGCATTTTGTCAGCGTCTTCACCAAATAAAACTATGTCATCTGCATATTCTAAGTCAACAAGTGAACCTCCCGGTAGAAGTTCAACCCCTGGAAATTTAGATGAGGAGAGTGTTATCTCTAAAAGTACGTCAATGACAAAGTTGAACAAGAATGGGGAGAGTGGACAGCCCTGACGAACACCACTTGAGGTGATCAATTCTGATGACAGTTCGCCATAAGCTCTCACTCTACCAGTTGTGTTCGAGTAGAGAGCCTTTATAAGGTTAATGTACTTCTTTGGTACTCCTTTCAGTGACAAACACTGCCATAGAACCTCACGATCAACGGAGTCGAATGCCGCCTTAAGGTCGAGAAATACTACCATTGTGGGGCGTCTGAATGTGTGTCTCTGTTCTAGAACCTGACGTAGTGTGAATATCTGATCTATACAACCACGTCCAGGTCGAAAACCAGCCTGGTTTTCTCTAGTCTGTTCTTCACGAGCTTTAGTTAGGCGTCGAAGTATTATTGAGGCCAATATTTTAGACACTATATTAGTCAAACTGATTCCTCTGTGATTGTCACAAGAGGACTTTTGTCCTTTCTTAAAAACTGGCACAATCAGTGATTGAGACCAGTCAGATGGGATTACGTCCAGTTCCCAAATTCTACCTAAGACCTCAGTTAATCTTGCTGCTAATACTGGACCACCATCCTTAAAAATCTCAGGAGTAAACATGTCAGGGCCTGCTGCTCTCCCTCGTTTCAGATTTCTTATGGCTTTTTCAACTTCGTAAAGGGACGGAGGACTTACATTAACTTGCCATTCAGGTTGACTGGAGATCGTGGGAAACCGAAGTGTGGCTGAAGGCCAGTTGAACTGATCCCTAAAGTGTTCTGCCCATCGATCCAATCTCCTGGATTGAGAATGAATAATATGTCCATCTTTCTCTGAGATTGTTTCGCTAACGGTCGGTTTCCTAATTCCGGTTTCCTTAACGAGTCTAAACAATTGTCTGCTATTACCTATTGCCGCTGCCTTTTCCATCTCTCTTGCTTTCGCTACCCACCACTGTTCACGATCATTGCGTAGACTTCTTGTCAGCTTGCGCTTAAGCTCACTCCGCTCTTCATTATGTTCAGAGCCAGGTGGAATGAGTTTTCGAGCATCTATCAGTGCGATAGATGCTGCTGAGATCCAGTGTTGCTCCCTAACTTTACGGTTTACCTTACTAGCAGATATCACTGCTGTTTCCACAGCTTTTCGGATATCGTTCCATGCTGCCTCGGGGTGGGCATCACATACATGGCTGCCTAACTCTTTTCCTAGTTGTTCCTGAAATATACTCTTAGCTTGACTATCATTAGGTAGGGCCCTAAGAGGTTTCCTTGCAGGATCTTTCCTACGTCCAGTAAGACGCAAGCAAATACGCGCTCGCACTAGAGCATGATCTGAATCTAGGCATGTGCTCCAGAATGAGCGACAGTCTTCTATCGAGCCCCTCCATCGGTGGCTGATAGCGATGTGATCTATTTGGGTCCAACGTTGGGACGAATTAGGGGGTCGCCATGTTAAAAGATGTTTTTCCTTATGCTTAAAGTTAGTATTTGCAAGGAACAGGCGGTTATCTGAACATAGCTGCAACAGACGGTCGCCATTATCTGTTCTTTGAGCCACGACACCATAGGATCCACCTAGGTGTCTTTCCTTATCGCTTAGTTTACCTACTTGAGCATTAAAGTCACCGGCCACTATTACTACATCCGAGCGCTTAGCTTTTCGGAGAAGGTCCGAAAGCTTTCTGTAAAACTCATCTTTTACATCATCTGAGCTGCAGTCAGTGGGAGAATAGGCAGAGACGACGAAGAGGCAACGACGAGTGTCCCTATCTTTCCGGATTCTTACTGTTCCGTTCAGTCGGACAGCGCACAAACGACTGTTTACTGGGATCCACTCTAAGAGAGCTAGTTCTGCCCTAGGACTCAATGCTATACCTACGCCGGCGAGGCCACGGGAAGCAGAATCAGGGCTTCCAGATACACGAAGCGTAAATCGAGTCGGTTCTTTATTTTGGCATGGTGAGGTCAAATGAATGACGCTACTCGGATCTTGTATGCGCGTTTCGGAGACGCAGCACACATCGATGGCGCGAGATTCTAAAGTCCTAGCTAAGGAAGCCTGTTGTCCTATTTGGTACAGTGTTCGTACGTTAAAAGCTCCTACGTGTAGTTTAGAGCGTGGTTTCAGGAGACCAGGAATAGCGTTCCACGTACTCGAATCGTTTGCCCTAGCGGTGCGAGGTGATAAAGAGACGTGAGGAGGGTTAGTCGGGAGGATAAGAGAGGTATTAGGAGGTGTAGGAAGGATTTGAATGTGACCACCTTGGTCTCTTGTGCTGTTACGGGTATGAGGGCTGATGTCACTTCCCGGCTGCCCACACCGTGGAAGGGTATTTCTTGATGAACCTGAAAAGGAAATTGGATTAGTGTTGGTCTTGACGACCTGGGAGCGTGACCGCAGAGCCCAAGGGACAACTGCTTGAGGCCGGTCGCGCACGGCCTTTTTGTGGAAGGTTTTTGACGTGTTAGCTCCGTTCTTCAAGGGGCCTTACCGCCGGAGACGGAAATCCGTGAGGTAAGGTGAGGTGTGCATTTTTAGGGTCGACCTTTTCTAACCCCACCCCTCCTTGTGGGAAGGCAGCATCGCTGTCATGCTGGTTGTCCGAGGGAAACACCTTACTGCTGTCACACCTCTCTACAGTCAGCAGTACGACTTCGCCCTCAGACCTTGAGTTGCTGCTTTTAGTCTTACCGTTCGCCAATCGACCTGCCTGGCATGGTAGAACCTGCAGGAACATATGTTCCAGCCAATATAGCTCGGTTGGGTCATCACGATAGGCAAGCCCGACCACCGCGTCAAGGTAGCAGCTTCGATCGGGTGACATGGCTCAAAATCGTTCGCAATGGCGCAGGTGCATCCACTCTCTGTGTTCTCCCAAACTCTAATCTTCTGAATTCTTCATGTCCCTTTTTCCCTCTTTCCAAATTTCTTTCACTGGATTATACTCTTTAAATAACATCTCCAAACCCTAATCTTCCCGATTACTGCTTATACTCTTGCTACCTCTACCACTACGGGATTTGAATCGACCACTGCATCTCAGTGCTAATGTGGTGTGGCAACTCGAACTGATGTACGTACGTACGAAGTTCCACGTTGTTACTGACTGACTAAACGCCACATATCCTGGGACATAAATAACTTTATAAAATTAGTAGGTAATTGCTTTTATAATTTAGCATAGATAAACAAAAGATCATAGTTTGATTAAAAGGTATCATTTAACTGTGTTCTACATAGACATACCATTTGGATGGCATTCAAAGTTTTGCCATACTTCGCAATACCTAACAGTAAAGTTTTTTCTATACCCAATGGACAATCGTCAGCACAACCCTTTGCATCACCGGATTGTAAGAATTTTTCTTTAACTTTTCTAAGAAAAGGTAAATCTAACATAATATTATGTAAAGTATAGCATACACTACCTGCATAAGTTGGTTTCAAGATAAGGTCAATAGCGTCCGCCCATTTCGAACGAATAAGATATCTAATAAATAAGAATTGTAACAATAATAATAATAGGAATAATTATTTATAAGCATATCATGTAAAATAATAAAGATGAATGCATAACCAAAGATGAGAAAGTGTCCTGCGAGAGAGTGCAAACTATGATAAAGAGGAAGGGATAAAATTGGGACTAAGAATGAAAGAGTACTAATGTGGCACAAGTTTGAATGGACTTTTTTGTACATATAAGTTAGGCTTCTTGAAATCGATTCCTATTGCTCCAGCTATACGGAGTAATTATTATTTTGCGCCGTTTAATAAATTACCAGGAACTTGATGTATAACTGAGAAAGCATTTTCAATCCTGATGCTACGCATACAATCAATTAGGTGAGAAATGATACTATCAATAAATTTTGTAACGCCTTTTCCTAATCATGACTGTACACGTTTACGATCGCTTAGGGACCGATGCTACTAGCCTCACAGGGACAGTTAAATTGATAGGCGGGTATAGATGAATCTATCACTGGTATCGTATCCTTAATTTGCCGGGTTAGTATTGGCTTCGTTGGGAAAGTTACGTGTAATTCGGAGGTACTAATATATCGAATAACCAGATGCATTTAAACAACTTATAGAACCTTACTCGCTATATTACCTATGTAATAAAGTTTTAAGTGTAGAGTTTTCTTCTCAACTGTGGAAGTTCATGTCTTCCTTTTGGGTTCTGTAATGTATTTCCTTATGAAATTACTAAAGTATCCATTTTTTAGTAGCGACAACATTAGTTTGTCTAATTCCTTGTTTATATTATCCTCAGAGTAGTTTTTGAATTTTGTGACTTTGAGATTTAAATAGATTGATTTTATGATGCAAGGATGTGAAGCTGTGGAAGTGAATATGTTGTTCCAAGATCTTTTTCTAAAAACATTTCTTTGCACCGAACTGTTAGTCATCTCTATTCAATTCAGTTACCTCTCTTACCAAGTATTCTACAGACGCTAATCCACTTAACTGATCCCGAAATCAGAACACAGCTAGGACAGAAACGTAATAATATTCTAAAGCAAACCAAACTGAATGGAGATAAATTACAGTAAGAAAAATATTGGTATATTTGTTACTGATACATAGGAATATTCTAGTCTTCTCCATTTATCTAGTGGTGCTGATCGACTAAAAATGGTCCAGCCAGCGTGCTCCAACATAATACTGAGTGGAACATGCTCTGAACCAATTTGTATCCTTTTAATACGAACCATTCAACCTTTGAGAGAGAAGGATGTCAAAACATTCTACCTAATTATGGCACTTCACATGTGGAACTAATCTAAGGGTGTGCATTATTAAATGTTTCTAACAGTTTTCGTGAGTTGACCGTCTTATCACATATAATTAGCTTGTCATCTACGGCAGTAGCACTCTACTTCATTATGATTATCGTGTAGTGGTCCATTTTTCAGTCCGATTAGAAAAATATAGGCGAATATTGGACCTAGGGGAGATTTCGTTGCTACTCCATCTATCTGTTTAGGGTCCGTTATTAAACACGAAATGGATATTCGTTGTGCATTATAACAGAAGTTTCTTCACATTATATTTGTATCGGCATCATTTTGAATTACTGGTAGATTAAATTATAATTGCTACTTAATCTCTTGATATCTACCATTCATATGCGTCGAAGAACAGTTAAACATTTATGCCCGAAATTCACTAACATTACATAAAATAATAATTGCTTAACAGTGCAATTCATCGAATCTATTAAACATAAGAGATTGTGAAATGTTTCGCTAATTACTGCCATTAAACTTGGTGGCTATCTTATAGCCCTAAAAATGAAAAAAGTTTGCGGTTATAATGGAACAAAAACTGACTACTGTCCAAAATCTTAAAATCACTGAGGATTTTTTGTTTCACATCTTAGTTTCCAAAAAAGACAAATTATTGCGTGGCTAACGGCTTAGTCATTTTGGTTGCTATTCAGACGAGGACTGTCAGGGAAGTTAACAAGTCAATGAAGTTCACCACGTTACAAGTTACTGTTGAATAATCTTGTACCATTTCCCATCAACTACTAATGTTGGTGTTCAAAATGTGGACTTCTGATGTTATATATATATATATATATATATATATATATATATATATATTTGAACGGCTGATTAATACCATTAGGTCTCAGAGAAATTTGGATAGAATTAAGTTAACAAATAGATATTTATGAGACAGAATGATTAGATCTATCATACTTTCCAATTTCGAAACTTTTGGATTTGGAAGAATGCCCAAATCTTTGAAGACCGTAATAGTTCACAAAACCAGTGTTTTTCCAAGTCCCGACTGCAGTTTCAACGACGGATCTTGGTGCACACACCGATCTATAGACGAAAAAGCAATATTGCTGTGAAGTTGATAAACTAACCTTAGCACAACTACAAACTGATTTCCATCTAAATCTCCGAGAAACAGAGGAGAAGAAACGTATGAAAAATTGCCTAAACGTAAGCCATGAAGCCGTGCATTCAGCAATGATAGTGTTTTCGAATTTATACTATATGAAAATTGGTTATTTGAATAAATTTTACCCTTTCGCTGTAACAAATTGTGTGGTAATTGCTCGACGATCTTTCGTACCAGCAAACGAAAATATACTGGGTCCAACACTTTAAAATCAAAAGGGAGTAATAAGATAAAGCATACTGTAGGAAACGACTGAGAACTTGGATAGCATTAAGTGTGTCTTTACCCTCCTTGTAAAGTACAAAATGGCAGTATGGAGCACTTTTAGACATACCATTGGCTTTTCTTTTAGATTGTCGTGAACCTTTGGCTGAAAACGAAATCAATAATAATTGTGATTTTAGAAACTAACTTTTAGGATGGTCTTTTCGATGTACAACAATCATATTTTCATTGTCGTCTTTTGATGTCGTGCTTTCAAGTGATGGGAATAATGCACGTATTGCTTGGTGGATCTGTGTTCTGTCAGCTTTATTATCTGGGGCCTGATTTTTTAATGATCTCAAATAACTGAGGTACTTTAATTTTTAATACTTCACTATCACCACGGCTCAAATTTTGAAGTCCAGACAAATGAACTTCAAGTTTCTTTTCCATATTGAAATCATAAGCCTAGTATATAAATAAGTGTCTCTAAAAGTTACTTCAGGAGTAGGATCCGGAATTGGTGCTAAATCAGTAAGCTTTGCATAATTTTGACCTCTAAATTCACGGACAATGAAGTCTTCCCATCTGTATGAATATATGTAGTGTTTAAAATCAAACATACCTATTTTTCAACGTTGCGTCAAAACCTTGAACTAAAGGTTGTACGAACGTAGTGATTCCAACTTCTCTGGGTTGAAGGATATCCACTTCATTGTCAGCATTATCAGTTTCCAGAGAACATAATTTAGGGCGCTTGGAGTCCATGAGTAGATCAAATCTAAAATAACAGCTTTAGTAATTAATGTTTGACAAAATAAGATTACAATAGTTGAGGAAAATATTTAAAATCTGTTTGTTTTATGAACATGTTATTGATAAAGAGTTTGAAACTAAACACCAACATTGATTATCTAGTGGAGTGATTCGCTAACATTTTATTAAAAAACGACTATGTGTAAAACGTTTGATACATCTTAAGTTTCATAGAAAGACACACTATGAATAACTTTGAATATTCAGATTACATTGTTCTCCTGAATGGAATTGGTAAATCAGTCGCACGCAACGAAAAACCTGCCACATATGTGCATAGACTACATTAGCCACCCCATATTAGCACTGTTAGGTGAGTTTATCAAGACAAGTCTTGGCACAGTAGTAGTACCAGCGACAGTATTAGAAAAAAACTAGACATAAACGATGTTATTTGAAAACAATCAATTCGTGGAACGAAAAGCTGACGAATCATTTAAAACTCAGAATCTGAGGGAAGAACAAGAGTGAATATATCTGGGCCATTGTGACAGATTCTGAGTCATGTCTTCCAAAGTTTCTAAGAAATGGTTACGATAATAACGCATACGTCAACCGCGTAGCCTGGAATTACCAGAATTGCTACTTTCAACAGCCAATGACTTCATAGGCTAGCTATATATCTTTGTTTGGCCATCTCCAGTCTTGTCCCAACCTAGACCAGCAGGCTTAGCACATCAAGGCAGGAAGTGGTTGATCAGACGCAATACATGTCTCAACAACCTCTGCATATAAGATTAAGTACTTTATCCATCAATTTCTCATTTTTACCCAATACATTGCGGTTAATCTCGACACTGTTCACTCCGTAGTCCCAATGTACCCCAACGATGCTTTGAAGGCACTGGTGATCTAATGCTAGTAATCCACGAATATCTTTTATTCTTAAAGGTCACGTTTTAAAGCCACAAGGTAGAATCGAGCAAACTGCTGAGCAGTAAACTCATCTTTTAGTTGGTAGACGAACATCTCTACATCACAAGTGACAGAGGTTGGCAAACACCAATCTACTATGGATGATAAGACTTGCAATACAAATCAATTGATTAACGTACTCAAATATTCTGATCCATATCATAAGTCTAAGCACTGTCACAGGCAACATTTTTTATTTAGAAAAAGAGAAACAAACCTCAAGCCTGTTTGTGTTGTTCCCCTAGGTGATAAGAAGACCAGCTTATACAAGGGTCTCCAACTAATAGAACTATGTCATCCGCATATATTTCCTGATAGATCGATCCCTGAAAAGCATTATCGGATGTGAATGCTGACCAAACAGTTTTTGAATACGAAACTAAGTTTATCTGTAGCGATGTGGTACGAGATCAGTCTCGTTAAAGGCACGGATACGTTATCGTTAAAGACAACGAAGATCTCACAACTATACAAGCTTTTATTTATTTTATTTATTTATTTTATTCCAAATTCGTCTACATGAATTTTTATCTAGCAGTAACTAGCAGCTTGGAACATGAAAGTACCGTATTTATGATATACAGTTGTAAAAATGAAACGTTTGATTTGCTAGTAGTTTTCGAATAAACAAGTCATTATTAAGCAGACAAGAATTCATGATGAGACTATAATATATGGGGGACCTTTGTGCGACGCTAGACTGACCTTGAGAGTGTCCACCTAATATTTGGGACCAAATGAGTGTTATAAACCTGTGTGAGGAATTAGATGGTTAAGGCTAGGAATTAGATTTAGGGTTTACATCACGAACTGACATGAGCTAAATGCTAAAATTCTATTTAGTTAAATGGATGAGTGAATTTCGTGCCAAAATCCAAGGCCTGTTTTCTTATACCTGATTGGTTAGTCCACAATTTATAATCTCGCCAAATTCATAGTTAGGTACGTTGAACACATTACTCAATACACAACCACAACACTACTGAGAAGTCAAAAAGTGCATAAAAGAGAACCAAATCATGCCTTATTGCAAACAAATCCGTAGACGCTGAAGATTTGATCACAAGCCCTTTGATTCTTATTTAAATTCACTGGAATCATCGTAGATTAAGTTACTTTATACCTTGATTACATTTCCAACTGTTTATGATCTAGAATGAAGCCAACGCACTGTCCGATATACAGCACTATACAACGAAAATGCTTATGCAACAAATGAATAACTGGCTCTAGTACTTAATGACTTGACAGTGAGAAAACTCTACAGTCCACATAATAGTGTTGTAGTTGTAGCGATCGAAACTATTAGGTGAAGTGAAATGAATTTCTCACAATATTGTTTCTTCACACAATGTCTATGCAGAGTAATGACATTTGTACTGTGTCAAGAGTATTCATCTACATATTAAAAGGATTTTCAGTAAATAGTATGTGAACAGTAAATAAATGTACCAACTACTTTGAAGAACAAGTTCGTTGTTAACTTCTGAAATCAACCAGTTAAACACTTAGTAAGCGGTTAGTTATTTATGATGTGTCATGAAGTGATCTCACCAATTGAGGTAAGGTTCTCAATGCACTAGGAGAACAGCTGTAAGTCGAGGTAACAAGGCATTTTTGTAGCTGAACTCTTGAAGTTACCAGACAGTAGAAGCTAAATATATGACAACGCAATTTATATGAAGTGTGCAATCTTTCTTTATTTTACTAGGCTTATAGTGCTTTGTGTTAGCAAACGAAATTTACAGCTGGGAATACTGATTAAACTAACTTGATACATATTAACATGGTGTATACAAACAATAGCTACATAAACACAAACGCCAGTGCAACAAAAACCAAGAATCATGCAGGCTGAATTCGCTAGTGTTTTGACCATTTTAATCACGTAGTCCTTTCACAAAAATGTTTGAGTGGAATTGTATTTATACAGTTTTGCCAGACAACTATCTTAAGGCCTATTCGTTTATTTACTTAATGTAAATTAACATGATTGAATGCTAACAGTTCATTTCTCTTTGAAGACCTATGTAAACACTTACAAACAGATAAATTTGTCTTCAGTCGGTCCGTTTACTGCTATCAGGGAGGCTATCACTTGTGTCAGTTATAATTGCCCAAGGACAGTGGAAGCTTCAAAATCTAGTAAAATGTAGTACTAGATTAATATAATATAACTTACAGTTCTTTACGCTTTCTTAAGTGCTAGACATATTATTTCCGAATACCAAAAGCACGCCAAAACGTACCGACTTACAAAAACAAACCGCGCAGCCAAATCCCAAGTTCAGTTTCAGTTTGGAAACAACAGGAGGTTTGATGGCCTGTGTTAGTCCTGACAATGATAGTCTCTCAGTTGATCCAACTTTCATTTGGAAGAGTCGACGGATGGAGCCTCGATTACATGCTGAGGTAATGAATTCCACTCATTGATGATTCCGTGGGAAAGTCGATTGACAAGTAATTTGTCCTGGATTTGTGAACATCTTGGAGTGTCCTCGTAAATTCTCTGTTTTGGGAAACAGGAAAAATGAGGGAATATCAGACACAAATTTATCACTAAGCAATTTGAAAACTGTAATCAAGTCGCCTCTAGTTCTTCGATATGACAAAGGGAATATGTTTAACTTGACTATTCGAGCATCATATGGGAGCTTTGCTATTCCGTAAATCATCTTATTTACTGTCCTCTGAACTTTTTGCAAAAGCTCACTGTCTTTTCTTAAGCAGGGGCTAGCCGCTTGTATGCAGTACACAAGTTTAGGAACACTGTGTACAAAGTCAAACACGTTTTAGCGTCGACATGACTAAAAGCCCTACGTATTGACCATAAGGTTCTAAAACCTCTGGCGGCTATTGCACAGCAGTGTGCAGTAGTCTTTAAGTCTTGACTAACGATAACTCTCAAGTCATTATATGTCTGGACGACAGGTAGCTCAATGTTATTCATCGTGTATGTATTAGTACCTTGATGACCGATATGCATCACAACACACTTGGAAGTATTTATCGGCAACTGCCAGGCTTTAAATCACTCAGATAATTGCTTCAGGTCATTTTGGAGTTCTAAGCTATCACCATTACACCGTATCGTCCTCCATATCTTGACATCGTCAGCATATAGCAAGACTGATGATGATAGGAGACGTGGAAGGTCATTCACAAATACGAGGAACAACACTGGCCCCAAGACTGTAACCTGAGGCACTCCACTAAGCACAGTTTCCCAGCTAGATAACTTTGAGTTCACCCATACTCTTTGTTGGCACCCAACTAGGAAGTCTTTTATCCACATTAATAGATTGCCTCCGATTCCGACATTTATTAACTTATATATCAGACGGTTGTGAGGAAATTTGTCAAAAGCTTTGCTGAAATCAATGAAGGCTACGTCTATAAGTAACTTTTGGTCCTTAAGAGCGTACCAACTTTCACGAGCCACTAATAAGTTGGTGAGATAAGAATAAGCCATTCTAAAACCATATTGCCTCTCTGAAAGGATCCGGTCTTAAACATCTCCTTCCGAATAATCTTTTCTAGGATTTTAACAACTACACTAGTTAGGCTAACAGGTCGGTAATTCTCAGGCTTATGTTTCGAACCTGTTTTGAAGACAGGACTTACTATGACATTCTTCCAGTCTTTTGGTAAACGACTCTGCATTACGGATAGATTGAAGCATATACTTAAAGGGTTCGCAGCGAAGTTAGATAATTCCTTTAGTACCCTAGGATCCAATTCATTGATCCCTGTGGATTTACCTAAGTCAAGCTTATTTAGCAGACCAAAGACACGCAGTCCGGTGTATGTGTGGGGGATTTGTATGCGCTGACGGGATATACATTGCTTAAGCAGTTTGAGAACACTTGAGCCTTACCAAAGTCGTCCTCCATTAATGATGAAGCAGTACTGTCTCCCCATAGTGTAGAAATATTTCCTCTTTTTATCCTTTGGTTTATATAGGAATACAAGCGTTTAGGACATTCTGTAGATTCCTTAACAATTTTCCCTTCGTACAACTTTCTAGACTCACGAAG